TTGGCCATGGTCAGTGGGCTTCCAACTTCGGCTTCAGTCTGAGCGTCTGAGTGCCCTTCATCCCTGCCGCGCCTCCGTCATCCGGCCGCGCTGCAAGCATGACCTTCTGAGGTCCGCGCGGACCTCCGAAAGTTTCTATTTGTTGGGATGTAGCTTCTGGGAGGCCCAACTCAGCATCGGCGCTGGTATATCCGTGGTCGAAAGCCGGCCCAATCGGGCTCGATCCCGCTCCACTCGGGATCAAGGTCGCTCACTCGGGCTCAGTCCTGGGCGCGATTCGCGCCACAGTCTGGCGTCGTGGCCCTTTCCTCGGGCTTCGCAGCCCCGGCTCGTGTCGGCGTAGGCCTCCCAGGAATTGCCGGTCCCCCCTTCCCAGGATCTGCCTCTTCTGCCCTCCCCCCTCTCGCAGGTCGGTGCAAGCGACGGGCGTGCCGACGTGCAGACCTCGTCTTGCCTGTGCGCCCGCCGGGGCGCACGGCCTGTGACCGATTGACTGTCCTTGCCGTCTTTCCTCCTCTTCCCGAGACCAGCTTCCACGCCTGCGTCGCCGCCTGCGCCAGGGGGCAGCGCTGGGAGGGCGCCCTGCGCCTCTCCGCAGACCTGCGGGCGGCCCGCCTGGAGCCGAGCGCGGACGTCTACGCCGTGGCGGCCAGCGCGTGCGAGCAGGGGCGGCAGTGGGAGCGGGCGCTGGCGCTCGCGCGCGAGGCCGGCTGCGTGGCCCCTTCGGGGGGCCCCGCCCGTCCGCCCCGAAGGTTGCATCTCCCCTGGTGCCCGACGGGGGCTCGGTGCGGAGTCGACGCGGACGTGGCGCGGGTCCGACGAGGGCTCGACGCGGACGTGGCGCGGATGCGACGGGCCCGACATGGGTTCGACACGGATTCGGCGCGGCGAGGGGCGCGACGGGACAGACGAGGTCCCCCGAAGAGACGCAACACGAGGCCGAGCGTGGCGGCCTGCGGCCGGGCCTGGCGCTGCTGAACGCTGCGGCCTGCGCCTGTGCAGCAGCCAGGACGCCGAAGCAGGCAAGGCACTGCGCAAGCACAGAGGCCTGGAGGTTGGCACCAACACCAGTATCGGCGGTGCGCCTCCACCTGGGAAGGATGCTCCTGACCTCGGTGGTGTTGGCACGATTCGAGCTCCACCAACACCGAAATCAGGGATCATCTTGCCCCTGGTGGAGGCACACCCCTGCATTGGTGTTGGTACCCATTTCCAGGCCCAAACTCTCGGAGCTCCGCACGAAGTTCCAGGATCGGCGCTGGGCCCCCCTGGCGGCGCCTCCTGTGCCGCCCCCGGCGTCGCCTCCGGCGCCGATCCAAGGACATCCTTCGCGGAGCTCCGAAAGTTTACGCTATGTTTTTCGATGCTCCTGCGCAGGAGGTGGGACCAGGCCCTGCTGATCCTCGGCAGCCTGCCGAGGCGCCGGCTGGCCCCGGACCTGGTGAGCCTCGGAGTGGCGCTGGGCGCCTGCTCGCGCGCGCGGCAGTGGCAGAGGGCCGTGGACCTGCTGGCGCACTGCGCGCCGGAGGAGCCGGACGCCATGTGCTGCGCCACCGCAGTGCAGGCGTGCGCTGCAGCCTGGATGTGGGAGGTTCAGAGGAGGAAAAGGTACCCATACCTCTACCCTCCCTTCGTTTTCCCCTTTGGGGGCCTGCTGGGAGGCCCTCGTCGCCGCTGCTGGGCCTCCTGGGCATCCGTTGTCGCCACCGCTGGCTTCGCCTCGAAATCCTGGTCAGAACGCACCCCGGGAGCGGCCCGGGGAGTAGCGGTATCGGTACCTTTTGGCTTCCCCAGAGGCGGCCATCGGCACGCTGCGCGCGGCACGGGCCCGTGGCCGCGACAGCGCCCTCGGCGCCGCGAGCGCGCTCGTGGCCTGCGAGGCGGCGGGGCACGGCCACGCGGCCGCGCAGAGGGGATCGATGAGCCGCTTCAGGGCCCTGCTGATGGGCCGGGGGCGCGCCTGCCCCGCGGCGCTGCGCGAGCGGGGCTCGGGCGAAGCCGTGGTGGCCGCCGACGCGCTGCACAGGTGGTCGGCTGGTCGGGATGGAGGGTTTCTCCGAAGGGCTTAGGCGACCCGTCCTCCTCCTCTCCTCCTCCTCCTCCTCCTCCTCCTCCTCCTCCTCCTCCTCCTTCCCCTTCTCCTCCTCCTTCTCCTCGGGTCGCCTACGGCCTCGGCGGAAACCGTGCAGGTCAGGACGGTCGGGAGTCGTGCCTAGACGGCACATCGGTTGTCGATCACATGCAGGTGCGTGAGTGCATGTGCAGTAGCACGCCAGCGTCGAATTTAGCAGGAGGGAGGCGATGAGGAAAGTACAGTCAGCGTCGCTTGCGCCGGGGGTCACTGGTCCGGAACATACCCTTCCCGGGGTCGGCCAGGGTGAGATAAGCTGCCCGCGGAATTGGGCGGTTCTCAGTGTGCCCGATCAGCTTGTCGCAAGCGCGCCAGTGCAACATCCGCGCGTCAAGACGCAACGGCGCATTCAATGATTGGCTGTCTGATTGCAGCGACGAGCGTTCATTTCTGATGTGGGCGTCTGGGAGCATCGTGGTGCGCGCGCGGCTCAAAGCCGCACGCGAGTGGTGGCGCCTGTCTCAGTGGACAACAAGAAACAGCCACATGTCCTCGCTATGCAACCAGTGCGTCTGGGATTGCCTTGATGAGCGACGTTGCAATGTCGCGCGCCCCAGGGGGCTGCAGCGGCCGCGTCGGGGACGGCTCTGGGGGGCTCGCGGTTTGCTGAAGACCGTTGTCGGCCTGTTCGCCACCAGGACTAGGTACGGGCATGGGCCGGAACCAGGAAACATACCCGGACTTAGGCGGGGTGGTGCTCAGACGCTTCGGCTAGGTACGGGTATGTTTTCTGGTTTTTGAGGCGTACCCGGACCTAGCTGTGGTGATCTTCGGAGTGCCGTCCAGGGTGGGCAGCCTCTGGCGACCTCGCCCAGCGTTCGGAATCGCGATGCCCCTGCATCGAGCAATTCGCGATCTGGCGGTTGTCTCGCGTTGGCGTTCTCGCCCGAATAGTTCGCATGCGCCCCCGAGTGCGCGTTGACCCCCACCGCCTGGACATGTACCTCTGGAGGCGCATCTCCGAATTAGCTGCAGCGGCCAACGCGGAGTCGGCCATCCTGCCGAATCGAACGCACGCGCCATCGGTGCCACCGCATGCCCGAAGAAGACAGTGTCCTGTAATTTTCAATCGGCCGTCGCTCCTACATTTGTGCAGCCGCTGCCAGCCGAGACGAGTCGCCCCCCCCCTCCCTCTGCCACCTCGTCTAGGTGAGGGTACGGGCCTCTCATGGGGTGCGTCCTGGCCATCAGACCTAAAGCGGGTCTGTTGCTGAGGCTGCGGATCAGCAGAGGAGGAGGAGGAGGAGGAGGAGGAGGAGGAGGAGGACGAGGAGGAGGAGGAGGAGGAGGAGGAGGAGGCGGAGGAGGAGGAGGAGGAGGCAGGACTGCGGGCAGAACCCGGCCCTGGCGACGGGAGCTCTCCGCGACGGGCCGCGGCATCCGTATACACCGCCTTCCCCTCCGCCGAGGTGGGGCGCGCTGGACCAGGAGGCCCGCGCGGCGCTCGAGAGGGGTGCGGTGCGGCCGGTGGTCGGCACGCTGCGCGGCGCCGCCTCCGCCGGCGCGGGCGCGGGGCGCTGCGACGGCGCGGCCTCTCGCCTGCGGGCCCTGAGCGCCGGCCTGCGCCAGTTCGTCTGCGACCTGGGCGCCGCCGCCTCGCGGGACGCGGCGGGGGGCCTGGGCACTGCTGGGCCTAGTTTCCACCATCGCCACAAGTTGGAGGGGGGAGGGAGGTGGAGGACGAGGAGGAAGAGGACGAAGAGGAGGAGGAGGAGGAGGAGGAGGAGGAGGAGGAGGAGGAATAGGAGGAGGAGGAGGACCCCCTCCCCCTCCAACTTATGGTGGTGATGGTGGAAAACAGGCCCATCAGGCATGGCACCGCGCCAGCGCTGTGACACGGCCCGCGCACTGGACTTCACGTCGGGCGAAGGGCATCTCCACATACAGCAAGCGTCCATGCTCGCTGTATGTTGATCTGGATACGTTTGCCGTTCGCCACCTCAGAGGAAGAGGTGCTGATGCCGATGATCGTCCTGGAAAGCCCTCGTCTCCAAGGCCGGATTCTCCTCGAGATCCTGGCCAGACCGTGCCCCGGAGGCCCGTGGAGCAGCGGCATCGGTAATTTGTGGTTCACCCACTTCCATCACCGCGGTGGGTTCTAAAGGGATAGGAGGTCCTAATTTGGTCGATATCTGGCTGAATCGTGTAAGTAGGTACAGGCGCCGTATGCGGCTTGGATGAGCTCGGCACTTCTGTTTTAAGTGTGCGGAGCCTGCTTCGCCCAGGTCTTTACCCCCCCAGCCACTCAGGGAAATTCTAGCCCACGTATGGGCTGTAGGTGAGGCCATATGCAAGCCACGACGGCATCCATTTATCACCGCCCACCCCCTTAGCAAACACCGCGGTGATTCAAGCAGGTCCCAGAGCGCACCCCTGGGGAGGCCCGTGAAGCAGCGGCATCGGCACCCGTGCAGGGCACTCCTCGTGCTTGAAATGCATCGCGCTTCGCACGTCGCGGTTTGGACCAGAGCGGTTGCCCTTGGGCAGCGCGTGGGCGCAAAGGTATTCGCATGCCGCGCATCGCGGCGCACGATGCGCGAAGTTGGGTGACCTAGGTACCCGGTTGCCCCCCCAAAATAGGGGGGCCCACCCAGGGCCCAGGAGCGGTGGATGTACACCGCTCCTGTGCCCAGGAAAGGCCTGGCCAGGGGCAGACCCATCTCCTCTGCAGGCGTTTTTTTTTTGCTTGTCGGGCCTGGCCTCGGCAACGCACCGCGCCCGCCGCCCTGCAGAGGAGAGCGGGCCCGCCGCTCCACGGAGCAGGCGTGCCCCTGAGCTCGCCGCCCTGCCGCAGAGGACCCGCCCCCTCCCCGGGCGGTGGCCTGCCGGCGGCTCCTGGACCTGGCCGGGCCCGCGGCGCCGGAGGCGC